TGCATTTTGATCTTTCGAGCCATTTCTTGAGCATCCTCAACAGAGAACAAACGGTGTAGAGAAACGCGGTCTTGAATGTTGAGTCACAAGCCATTGATGTACCTGACGGTCTGTTGTGCCTCTAATTCAACCAGGTTGTTGCAGGCAGAGAGTCGGAGAAACTCCCCCATGTAGGTTTGGACTAATCGGTATAACTACTTACAATTCTGGAATTGCTTAAACAACAATTGTTCATAATCGGTTGGAAGGAACCTGACCTGCAACATTTGCTTCATCCGATTCCACATTCGGACGGGAGCTTTCCCTTGTCAATGCCAGGTTAGCTGTGTCTGCTCCCACCAGGCCGATGCACCTCCCTTCAACTTGTACACCACTAGTTTTACTTGGCGGTCCTCTTCAATCTCCATGGCATTGAAGAATTTCTCAACTTCCCAAAGCCAGTCCAAAAAGTCTTCGATATTCAAGTTGCCATTGAAGGTTGGGAGGTCAACCTTCAATTGATATTGCTCAGAGTCTCGTCGATATCCACCGTTTCGACGAACTCCACGAACAGGCCCGTCCAGGAACTCTTCGTCTTCTTCTTCGGAGTCATTGACATAAGCTCGTCGCCTCTGTCGGGGATTTGCCCCACGTTCCATAGTTACTTTCGGGACTCGAGCGGCCTAAGCACATTCTACCAAAAGATTGTCAAGTATGGGTTGGGTAGACAAGCGCTGGATGGCAACAAGTAATTCTCGAAACCTCTGCTCAATTTGCTTCGCAAATCAATTGAACTCAGCCAGTGCAATAGGCTCGTTTTCACAGCCCTCAACTACGGGAAGATTGACATTAATGTTATTTGTCATCGTCACAAGAGAGACCTGCTCCGATACCAAATGACGCAGAAGGAAATAGACTTGGAAAAGAATTCCAAAAGATAACGTTTATTCTCAATATTGAAGTACTATTTATAATATCTTAGGCGCCTATTTATAGGGAGGTCACCCTTCGGAAAAAATAAAATATTTAAAATCAAATAACATAATAAAGGAAAACAATATTGATAAAGGGGAAAGTTTTCAAAACGCGTTCCGAAATTTGCAAATCACATCCGAAATCTTGGAAGGCAATATTGATAAAGGGGAAAGTCTTCAAAAAGCATTCCGAAATTTGCAAATCACGTCCGAAATCTTTGAAGGCTTGAAAATCAAGGATTATCTTAGAGGATCGGAAATCAAGGATTTTGATCTGATATGTTGTATGCATTATAACTCTTCTGGATCAAAAGTTATGATCGTTTGAAATTGACCTGTATTTAAAGCGAGGGTAGGACCACTTGCTCTTTTGGCGCTTGAAACTTTCCATATAAGCATTTGCTATTTGTTCTACATTAATGGCTTGGGTCAGGTTTCCATGCTAAAGGTATGTCAAACGCTTTATTGTCCCAATCGTTCACTCGACCATGCAAAAGCATGTTGGTCACCCATGGGTGGTTTGATGTTCATTGGCATATTCACTAGTCCCCAATGAAGTACTAGGGGTGTGCAAAACGGACCGCCCAAATCAGGAATCGCCTGGACTGGACCGGATCGTCTGGTTTGATCCGGTTTCCGGGAGTGTCGATCTGGTTTTCGATTCCTAAAAATAGAACCGGTGTCCGGGCGGTCTGGTTCCAAAGGGAACCGGTGTTCGAGCGGTCTGATTCCAAAGGGAACCGAACCGGACCAGACTGACTACATACCTTTTTTATTTTTTTAATTTCTTCAAGAAAATTAGTAAGATATGAACTAAACCTTAAGCGAAACACGTTTTTTTATTCGTCTTTTCAATTTGAGGATCGTTGCATACATATCACTTAATTCAACACGAAAAAATGGCATCAAGTGGTGGGAAAAAAAAACCCGGGTTTGCCGGGTCGTCCTCCTTCTTCACCCGACTCGCCCAGAACGTGATAAACCTAGAAAATATCTTTGGCCCCGTGACTTTACTGACTTAATTCGGTCAAATGAGCACGTGTTAAACTCCGATTTCAATTGGAGAATCTCCAACTGCCGTCGGAGATTCGATCTAACCGATTCGGAGTCGGTAATAACCAATTTTGGGTGGGAAAATCAAGCTAGAAAAAGAGAAAAACTACTATCTCGTGCATAAAGGGTGTTCGACGAAATCACTGAGAGAGGGAGAGAGAACCAGAGAGCGAGAAAGAAAGAGTCTGAGCTTGAGGGGTGTGTTGAGGCTCCTAGGACCAAGTGATCAGCGTTTTTCTGGCGAGAAAAACGCCGGCAAATCGGCTCCGACGGTGAACCTCCTCACCTGGAAAACTTGTGCCAAAGTTGGTCGTGAAGCTCTAAAACTCGAGCTCGGCCGACGCGTCCAGAGCTTCTCCGATGAAACTGAGTCCATTAGCTTGAAGCTCAGGTGTCAAAGAACGGTGCCACGGTTTTTGATTGCCTCGGAAATCTTGTTTTACCCTCCGTTGAAGCAGGTAAAGTTCAGACTTCATCACTATTTTTCCAGAATTCCAGATCGAATAATTGAACTACACCGTGCTAAATCTTGTAATTTTCTTGGTTGTTGATGTTTGAAACTTGTTTATGAGCATATTTCTTCTTGTTTGATTGCATTTTGGATTGTAAATGTGCCCTAAACCGAGTCGGCCGACCATTGAACCACCTCACCGGAGCATCCATGACGGTCAACTACTGTCTCAGGTCAGTTTTCTTTGCATTCATTTTGTTTTGTTGTTGATTCAATCGCTAGAAAACGACTAGGGCAAATTATTTGATTATCTGGAAGCTAGAAAAGTTAGTATTGATCAGTTTTAGGTTAGGACTTTTCGGATCACTTTTCACCGGCTGGCGAAGGTCCGGCGGTGAGTCAGTAAACTGATGTTGGTAGAGGATGATATAGGCTCAATGCAGAATCAAAAATCAGTCTAAAAGGTCACCGGAAGCTCACCGGAGCTTGATTCAAAGTCACAGCCTCGAAAATGATAAACCCAGACTCACGCACACCAAGTGTTCAACGAAATGCCGAAGAGAACAACGCCGGAAACGGTGCCGTTTTGGCGTTGTGCCCACTAGGGCGCTGGCCTGCGCCGGTGCCGGCCGGTCAGACTTGATCGGACTGGTTTGAACCGGTTCAGCCCGGTTCAACCTCCCGGTGGGAAAAATTTTAAAAATACAAATACAAAATACAAAATACAAAAAAAAAAAAAAAAAAAAAATTTTGAAAAATTTGAAATTTTTTTAAAAATTCAGAAAATTCATAAAAAATAGAAAATTTAGAAAATTTCTAAAAAAATCGAAAAAATCATAAAAATTTCAGCAAATTGATAAAAATTTGAAAATTCTGAAAAATCCATAAAAATCTCAAAATTTTGGAAATTCAAGAAAAGCAAAAAGTAAAAATAGCTCTCGGGGAAAATAGATTTTCAAAAAAAAATTAAAAATTTCAAAAATTCACTGAATGACCCAAAAACATTGTGGCCAACCTTTGCAAGTGAAATTAGAATTTTTAGAGGTACCTAAACGGTATTTTTAGAAAATCATTAGTTTATGGGTTTTTACCCATAAAAAACCCTAAACCCTAAAACAATACACATTGTCAAATGAATAAGCCTTTAGGGCTTTACTAGAATTTGGGTGTTTTGAATTGGTTTTCATTTTAGAGACCAAAATTAGGATTGTTTGGTTTGATTGTAATTGATTGTGCTACTTATATTGATTGATTGAGTTCCCACAATTAGAATGGTTAGAATTAGTAGATAGACCTCGGAAACTCGTGTGACACGTTAGAAACATCATATCGTTTTAGGTACCGAAAGGGCATTAAGGATCTCGACTCGGGACCATTAGCGTAATCAAGTCCCTGTATTCAGAATCTCTGGTTCGCAGAATCGTGGTATTTCTCCCATACCCCGATTAGGTTTCTAGTCAACCTACTAATAGTGACTAGTGGCGACTCCAAATCGAAAACCTAGATTGAATAGAATGATAAAAAAATAACAACCTGCTGTCACGTGAGGTATGGTCTAGGAGAGGCCCCCGTTTGTCTAGTGATGGGATATCTGTGGGACGTTTGAGCAAAATATCCGTATCGGACCCTAGTAGCTCATTCGGGGATAGTTTCCCCATTCATGACAAATGGAAGTACCTCCTTAGTATGCCAAAAAGCGCAGCGCGACAAGGGTTAATGTGTTGGGCATAGTTTTGGGTTTTTCGTGGCTTTTTTCCTTTTTCATAAACTTTTATTTTTATTGTGCGTATAACCATCAAACCCTTTCTCATCTTGATATTTTCTTTCAAAAATACTCCATGGATGATGATGAGACTTCAGTAACATTTTCAAAATGACATAACTAATTTTATGAATTTTATTACATTTCATCTTTTAAAGTTTCATATTGGAAAATGTAACTACGATTTTATTTTTGAAATTCTTTATAAAGGTTATTTATCTTTTTGTTTCATCGATCATCCTGTTATACGCATATGTATATAAAAGACATTTGATAAAAAAGGATTTAATGGTGAATACGCACAACATATGTTAAAATTTATAAACAAGCGATTGCGTTAAAAAAAAAATTATGTTAAAATTTTCATTAATCCACAAATTTGTTAGACAACATTGAAAGAATTAGGTTTATTGGAAATTTCTCTTTTCGAGAAAACTAATTTCTACATAAAAGTATTGCCTTTGATATACATCGGATATCCACAATAAAAAAGAAAACGAAACACGTGAAACCTCAATTATGGTAACTGGATCCTACATAAAAATAGAAAAACTAGATAAGGAAGGAAAGCGGATAAGTTCGGGCCACCACTTTAAATTGCGATCGAACAATTAAAGCTAATTTTGTCTTTTTAAGGGAAAATTGGGTTTCCGAAATATTCAACTAAAAAGCTTCCAAGTAACACGTGTTGGTCAGCCCACGTGTCGGTCAACGAATTCCTAAAATTGACGAAGGAGAGCAGAACCGACACGTCACTCTATCCGCTGTTACTATTATACTCGCGCGCGTTCGCTTCAATTTAACCCCAAATTCGATTCCTCCGATCGCCGCCAATCATGGACGTCTCCGTCGTCGCCGACGCCCTCGCGGTCACGGCCAATCCCGAATCTCCGGCGATCGCCAAGCTCCTCCTCCTCCGCCGTTCCGGCATCTTCATCTCCCTCTCCGACCTCTCCGGCACCGCCGCCTCGCCCCTCCACGTCTCCGCCCTGATGAACCCCGTCGACGCCGTCGCGCTCCCGCCCGTGAGGTCCGATCCTCACCGGACCCTCGCCCGCGCCCTCCTCCGCAGAAGCCGCCGCGCGAAGCGGAGGCCGAGGCGGTCCGCCGGCGGTCCCGGCGAGGGAGACGGCGATGGCGGCTCGCTCGACGGGGACGGTCCGTTCGGCGGCGGGTTCGGCTTCAGCGGCGGCGGGGGTGGGGGCGGAGGTGGTGGTCAGGGGTGGAATTTCGACGGGTTCGGGGGCCAAAGCTGGGACGACTCGCAGCGGCGGCCTCCCTGGGGTTCCGGTTTCGCGCTCGATTTCATCTACGAGGTGATTCATTGGATCGCGCTCTCAAAGTGCATCCACTTCGCGTTCAAGAGGGTGGCGAGGATCGCGGCAGAGTCGATGATCGGAGACGCGCAGCGGGGAGTGAAGGCTCCGGCGAGATTGACGGCCGTGTGCTAAATTGGTAATAATATGCGCTACCTCGGCAATACAATGTTACTCATGCTGATTGGTGGAAGGCTAGTTGATTTCTGGTGTTTTCTTCACCATTCCTGTGTAAATAGCGTACATAGTAGACAGCAATTGAATTTATATGTCGTATATACAATTAGACAGCAATTGAAGGGTCGATTCTTTCCGATTAGAGTATGCGATAAATTCTTTTCCAACGCGTGTTGATATGAGCGGATCTTGTGGGGTCTGCATATCGTGATCTGGGAAAATCCATATTGTAGTGTGGGATATGCAAGATTGTTTGTTACGTATGTTTGGTCTTCTTGTGTTGAGAAAGATTGTTCCTAGCTTACAACTATGTTCCCGGAAGCTTGAGTATGATTGCTTGAATTGAATTTGGTGGAAATAGTTAAAAGAATGGAAAGCTTCTTGTTTTAAGATATTCCCTCCATTGATACTGGAAATTTGTATACGTAGCTTGTTTATGTGTGTGTCTAATGATGGGTCGGAAGTTATGAGGTACAAAGTGACCTTTGTGGCATGGAAAGTGTGCCTAGATATTCCTGGCGAAAATTTTGTAAATTCTCCTCTCTGAGTTTTGCAAATAGCCAGGTTAACTCTTGTTGACGCTGAAGAAGTTAACAGTCATGATTTGCGATCACAAGAGAAGTTCTATATATGATATTTACGAGATCTTGAAGGGTTTAACATTGAATATCCGGTCTTCAATTTTGGTTATTCTTGTTGTGGTGCATGTTTTTGTCTGGGTTATTTGCTGATGTTGCCTGATGGAGTGGCGAGGCCACTCTTGCCGGATAACATAATTGAACTGATGGATCATCAAGAGAAGTTTTTTTGTCTAATAAGAAACAACATTGATGTTTGCTGGTGGTATAGAACCAGTTCTTGTTTCTGATTGGCAGGGTTCATGAACCTATTGTGCCAAGGCTGTCTTTAAGACAACAGTCTATGGGGTTGACTAATTGACAGATTCTTGTTTGTGTTGTGTTTTTTTGCTAGATTAGCTTTACTTGGGCAGTACCATGCTCGGTTAGCTTGTTTGGACAGTTCCATGGCGTTTATTTGCTCTTTTGAGAAAAACTTTTGCATCTATTCCTTTCGATATTCAGCCTCCAGTTTTAGATGTCATATGAAAACAAGCAAGAAAAGTCTTTTCTTAGTGATTGGCGATATGCTGGACTTTTTAGAGTTTCCACACTCTTGCTTTGTGACTTAGTCTAGCACTTTTGGAAATTAACGTTATTGGCCATGGATGAGCACATGCCTCGACTAGACGAGAATCGATCGAGCATTAGGCATGCATGCAATGTACATGGTTTTTTCTGCTAGATGCCTTGCCTGCAAAGCTCGGGCCAATCCTATTTGTGGTGTTCCTGATATTCTGGACTCTTTCTGTGTTGAATCGAAAAGTACAAGAATGTGTGCTGGTTCAATGGACTCTAGAACAGTAGAACTCATAGAACTTGTATTGCATTGTGGTTCCTAATTGAGGGAAACCCTGATGCACTTCGGTTGGAAGAGCGAAGAGTGAATGTTCGCTAACTGAAAAGTTCGCAATAGCCCCCGAGGGTCCGGCACTCAAAACAATCTAGTGATGATATCGACCATGAGGGAAGCCATAGCCGTAGTTGATAGAAGGGTATTGTGGTAGCGAAAAGGAATGGTGCCTCAGCTCCGGCCTAATTAAACAGATTGCTGATTTTATTTTCTTGCTGCACTCTCTCTCTCTGGTTGCTGAAACAATTCAACAGATGATAATGATGGTGACTGAATTACCATGCCGAGAACATTGGTTAAGGTGAAGACTTTAATTGCTTTTAGGAATGGGACTTTTCTTGTTTGATGTCTGCGAGGCCATATTCTCTTCGCAGGTTTTATATGTCAATCTTGTGAGTGATGTAAAATTCAATAAAGTAAAAATAGTAAAGCACTTCAAATGGATATTATGTTGCGGCTAAATAGTCATTCTATGTTTGAGAAGTGGGAGAAAAACGGAGCAACGAAAACAATGGTGTAAGCATTCCAAAAGGATTAGTATGTCGCTGCTGGAAGATGATCTTTAAGATGGATAGTCCCAGCCAAGTTGGAAGTATCATGGTTCATTGCAAAAGAAAAGCACTTGTTATTGTTATTGTTATTGTTAAACAATTAAATAAAATAGGTTTACAGATTGTTTTTTTCATGTCATATATTGTAAGTAATTTGGAAATCAAAACATTTGTTTATTAAATATGTTTAATAAGACTCGTGATTACACTCATTAATAAGACCTTGATTAAGACCCTTTTATAGCAAAAAAAAATGTCCTTTCTAGCACTGCGAAAAGATCATTTCGATGGTCGAATCTATTTAGTGCAGAGGATACGAAGATGCCAAAAAAGGGGAGGGCAAAGGAGATCACGATGGCTTCGTGTATCTTCCGAGGGGAAGTATAACTATGCTTGGTTCATGCACCTTCACGTGTACTGTTTATTCTTACATGATTCATGAATCTAGAAAATAATTGCAAAATGAAAAATATTACTACTCAAGAAAATAATTGCAAAATGAAAAATATTAGCTAGTGTGATCCATGATCTTCAATTTGGACGGAATGGATTTGTGTATATCCATTGGGACAAGGCATCGAGAAAGTGTTGAAGATATTTCTTCAAAATTTCAGCACATTCCAACCAAGAACAAATGTGTACTCACCCTTTTCGTGTGACTGCACGTTGGGCTCCCCTGTCCAGATGGAGTAGTCCGACCGGTTCGATTTTTGCTTTTAAGGACTTACTTTGATATACTTCATCACCATATCCGACGAGCAAACTCGAGAATAGTGTCTTGCTATAATCTCCACAAAATTCTAGCACGATCCAACGATGAATCTTGCACCCTAGTCGATTTCGTGAAGCTGTGTGTTGAAATGCTGCTCTGGTCAAATATGAGTGTTTGTAAGTGTACGTGAGCCCTTGGAAGAATCGCCGTCTTAAATATCTTGTCTAGGCCATTAAGTTTCCCGTAAAAAAAAGTCTTGAAAATCCCAATCCAAATCAAAGTCCAAAGTAGAAATTTAGATGGGAACTCTCCGTCAACTTTATCCAACAACCCTTTCAGAAAGTGCAGGGCGCATTCGCGATACAAACACGGCAAGTGCAATTGCGCAACAAGTGCACTGCATATCAAAATTTCATAGTACTTAAAAACACAATCCACTTTGTCTAAATCATATCCAACTCCAACATCCTTAGGATTAGGACCAAGCCCCAGAATATTGGAATGGGATAAGTGCATTTGAAGTCTTAAAACTTGTCACAAAAGTACAATCGAGTCCTAAAACTTTCAAAAAGTGCAATCAAGTCTTAAAATTTATCAAATTGATCTAATCAAGGTCTTCCGTTGATTGCACTTTTCTAAAGTTTTATGACTCGATTGCACTTTCATGACAAATTTTAGGACTTGATTATACTTTTTGAAAGTTTTAGGACTCGATTGTACTTTCATGATAAGTTTTAGGACTTCTAGTGCACTTATCCCTATCGGAAAGACCAACTCCCACCATCTTGGAGTTAAGACCACTTCCATCTATCTTGGAGTTCAGACTAAATCTCGCAATATTGGATTTATGTCCAATCCTACAATCTTGGAGTTAAGCTATGCCCCGCAACGTAAGAGTTGTGAATTCTAGCCCATCTCGCATATCGGCCGTCTATTGGGCCAATCTAGATAAAATTTATAGCTGAGCCCTCCATTTCACCTGATGCAGATATGCTTTGTTTGGAGGCTTTATGCTTACACCTAAATGTTCTAATGCCTAAATGCAGATAAATGCAAAAAAAGAAAGAAAGGCGTAAGCACTTATATTTCTTGGCTTCCCAACTTTATCGAGGCATGACTCGTATCGGATCACACTAAACACTTTAGTCACATAAACCCTGAAAGAGAAGCATAAAAAAGAGATAATGACATAACTGGTCCCTAAACTTTGACTCAATATACAATGTGACTTATAAACTTTTAATTTGTTCAATATAATCCCAAAACTTTATCACAATGTGCGATATGATCCTTGAACCTTTTAATCGTTAAATATGGTCTCTAAACGTTTAGTACATTTTCAATTTAGTCTTCGAACTATATGGAAATGTTCAATGTCATCCTTTGATCAATTCAAGTTTAGGGACAACATTGAACATTTTCATATGTTCTGGGGACTAAATTGAACATGTACCAAAAGTTAATAGACTACATTAAACAATTTAAAAGTTCGAGGACGATATTGCATATTGGGCTAAAGTTCAGGGATATTGAACAAGTTAAAAGTTCATTGACCACATTGTACATTGGGCTAAAATTCAAAAATATTGAGCAAGTTAAAGTTCATTGACTATACTGCACATTGAGCCTAAGTTCAGAGAAAATGTTCTTATGATGCTTCCTTGTTGAAGAAGAGAAAGCATCAAACTTCTCTTGGAACATGTTCCAGAGCATTTCGGAGCGACTAATGAAGGCCGCAAACAGTGAACACCTTCTTCTCGTAGACAAACAGTTTATTCGTTTCATTTTTGTGTGTGTGTGGTGTTCAAGAGAGGGTGGTGTGTACTGTGTACTGTCTTTAGTCGTCTAGGAGATTATTCAAATCTTGGTTTTGAACATTCATGTATTATTGGCCTACTTATTCAAGCACATGTATTTCCCTCGATGTCCTTCAGATTCACTAAAATATAGTTTGGGATAATGACACAATACTCTCTTAACTTTGGGAAATTCTCCTTGTGAAAATACTTGGAAACATGATCCACTCTGTCCAAATTACATCCAACTCCAACATCCCTAGGGTTAGGACCAAGCCCCGGAATATTGGAATTAAGACCAACTTCCAGCTATCTCGAAGTTCAGACTAAATCTCACAATATTGGATTTATGTCCAATCCTACAATCTTGGAGTTAAGCTAAGCCCCGCAACCTTGGAGTTGTGAATTCTAGCCCATCTCGCATATCGGGCCGTCTATTGGGCCAATTTAGATCAAGTTTGTAACCGAGCCCTCCATTTCACTTGATGCAAATATGCTCTGTTTGGAGGCTTTATGCTTACACCTAAATGTTCTAATGCCTAAATGTAGATAAATGCAACAAAAAAAAAAGCGTGAGCACTAATTTGGCATGACTTGTATCGGGTCACACTAAGCACTTTAGTCACATAAACCCTAAAGGAGAAGCACTTTAGTCACATAACTGGTCCATGAACTTTGACCCACTGTGTAATATAATCAATGAAATTTTTATTTGTTTAATATGGTCCCTAAACTTTACCATAATATGTAATGTGGTCCTTGAACTTTTAATTCGTTT